CGACCGGATTAAAACCGATTTTGAGAAGTATTTTGACAGTCGTCAACTGTCTTTGACAATTCGAAAAAAATGGCATAAGTTTATGTCAAATGTCAAAATTTACAGTTAGTTTGTAAACATGTCTAACGTCATTTTGTTCTGGCAACTTTTCCATTTAATCCTCTAATTGTGCAAGGCATTGTTTCCATAGCAGCAAATAACAATCACGTCTGTCAAATTTTTGTGACATTCAAGTTTAGAGTTGCTGGGAAATTTAAGCGAGTTTCATTGTTAAAATGACGAAAAACGCGACCGGATTAAAACCGATTTTGAGAGGTATTTTGACAGTCGTCAATTGTGTTTGAAAACTTGAAAAGAGTAGCGTAAGTTTATGTCATACGTCAAAAATGACAGTTAGTTTGTACACATGTCTAATGCCATTTTGTTCCTGCAGCTTTTCCATTTAATCCTCTAATTGTGCAAGGCATTGTTTCCATAGCAACAAATAATAGCCACGTATGTCAATTTTTTTTGACATTCAAGTTTATAGTTACTGGGAAATTTAAGTGAGTCTTATTGTAAAAACGACGTAAAACGCGACCGGATTAAAACCCATTTTGAGAGATACTTTGACAGTCGTCAACTGTCTTTGAAAACTTGAAACTAGTAGCGTAAGTTTATGTCATATGTCAAAAATGACAGTTAGTCTGTAAACATGTCTAATGTCATTTTGTTCCGGCAGCTTTTCCATTTAATCCTCTAATTGTGCAAGGCATTGTTTCCATAGCAACAAATAACAACCCCGTCTGTCCAATTGGTTTGACATTCAAGTTTAGAGTTACTGGGAAATTTAAGTGAGTTTTATTGCAAAAATGACGAAAAACGCGACCGGATTGCAACCGATTTTGAGAGGTATTTTGACAGTCGTCAACTGTCTTTAGAAACTTGAAAAAAATGGCATAAGTTTATGTCATATGTCAAAAATGAGAGTTAATTGGTAAACATGTCTAATGTCATTTTCCATTTAATGTTCTCCTGTCAATATTGACGTAACAAGGAGTTATTTAACATCTGTCACAAATGAGTTTTTCCATACGTCACTCGACAGCTGTCAAATTTAAACTAGTTTCGATTAGAGCCTGAAAAAGTGCAACTATTCGTGCATTCCTCATGCGCGTAACAGCAGTAGTTTCGCAGATCCCTGTACCTACTAATCATCGGAAAAAATCACCCTGTACATATAAAGGGATATAAAATGCAGGAGAGGTTTTTGTGGGAAAAAAATTGTGATTTTTGATGGAAATTGTTGATCGGCCAAAAATTGCCGAAGTTTCCTGCGGGTTTTCCCCGTCCGAAACCGCCCCCACCCAGCAAACTCTTCGATTTTCCCTTCGCCCCAACTAATCCGATCGATTCCCCCTAGGGCTTACCTTGATATTGCCGTTCATGTCGTTGATCACGGGGGCGAAGACCTTGCCGAACCGCTCTGCAACAGACGAAGGAGAAAATGGGGCTCCAAACATGCAGCTTAAATGATGTTTACCCACGATGGTGACGAGGCCGTGGGCCGCCTCCAGAAAGTCGAGGGTTCGAAGCCGGTCGGTGGCCACCGGAAATTGAACTTGGAGCACCGAAAAGGCCGTTTTGGCCGCGTCCCTGGACGCAGCAGCCCTATTTAGCTCTGACATTGCCACGTTGACGTGCACATTACAGGCGGACCGACTGGTGGCAGGCTGCGCGATTAGTCTTATCAGGTGGATCACAGTGGCTTTTGTCGGTGATTAGGTGAGTTATCGACGGTTTTGATCAAAAACATCAACAAAAATAAAAATATGGGTTGTTTACGTGAGTGTAACCTCAAAGTGGGTGTCAGGTGATGCGCGCAACGGGAATTTGCCCAAAAAAAAGGCGTGGCATTGTACTTTAGCGAAAAAGCTGATAGAAGCTTTTTTATTGGCGTTTTTCAAATCTTTCGGCTGCCGATAAAGCAATTATTTGAAAATCCGGGCCGACTCGGGACCTGTTTGCCCCTCCCATCGGTAATTTAACAAAAACAAACAATCAGGTGATTAATAACAAATGTGGAAAATTAACGTTAAAAAACCAACTCACTGGAAGTGGCAACCGCGCAATCACCAGTTGACGCAAGCTGACACCGCTCAAAATTTGTGAGGTTGGAGATGTCAAAAGCAACTTTTTCGAGAGATTTATACTTTTCCCACTGTTTTCTCAAAGTAACACACTCAAAAGTAAAAAAAACACTCACTGAACCTGGCAACACCGCCCTCACTTGTTGAAAGGAGTTCACATTTGTCGATGAGAGGGAAGGTGGTTGTGTCAACTGTCTCTTCAAGAGTTTTTGCACGCAACTCGAACATGGTTGCCAGAGTGTGAAGTTGTACCGGAGCTTAAATCGGGAAATTTTACATAATTTAACAACTTTCTTATTTAAAACTATTAGCTTCTACCTCAACACGCTACAGAGTCTGTCAATTCTTCACTGCACAACTCATTCAGTGAGTGGGAGGAAGGCAGCAACACCCACAAGAGCAAGGGGCTTTGTCTGGCGCACTAATAAAATGGGTCGCATGCCGAATAATCCTTCGTAGCTCCCTTATTATGTATTTTAGCGAAAAAGCTGATAGAAGCTTTTTTATTGGCGTTGAGCGTCCTGATTCACTGGCGTGAGCAAAATCGCTGCGCTGTTGGCGATTTTGGAGATATTTCCTGGAAAACCGGATTTTGGACGGTTTTGGCAAAACCATTAGGGCGGGAATTTTGGAAAAATGCCCGCTGTGTACCTGTTGGCCGCCCGGATGTTTTCTGTACGATAATTTTTTTGATTAAAATCTCGGTTGTTCAGAAAAAAAGCAAAATACCAAAAAAGCAGCTTTTTCCAATTTTTCGGCTGCCGATAAAGCAATTATTTGAAAATCCAGGCCGACTCGGGCCCTGTTTGCCCCTCCCATCGGCAATTTAACAAAAACAAACAATGAAGTAAATAAAAAACGCGGGAAATTTTACATAATTAAACAATTTTCTTATTTAAAACTATTAACTTCTATCTCAACACGCTACAGAGTCTGTCAATTCTTCACTGCACAACTTATTCAGTGAGTGGGAGGAGGACAGCAACACCCACAAGAGCAAGGCGAATAATCCTTCGTAGCTCCCTTATTATGTATTTTAGCGAAAAAGCTGATAGAAGCTTTTTTATTGGCGTTGAGCCTCCTGATTCACTGGCGTGAGCAAAATCGCTCCGCTGTTGGCGATTTTGGAGATATTTCCTGGAAAATCGGATTTTGGACGKTTTTGGCAAAACCATTAGGGCGGGAATTTTGGAAAAATGYCCGCTGTGTACCTGTTCGCCGCCCGGATGTTTYATGTACGATAATTRTTTTTATTAAAATCTCGGTTGTTSAGAAAAAAAGCAAAATACCAARAAAATCGCTTTTTCAAATCTTTCCGCTGCCGATAAAGCAATTATTTGAAAATCCAGGCCGACTCGGGCCCTGTTTGCCCCTCCCAGCACTAATCTAACAAAAACAAACAATGAGGTAAATAAAAAAACGCCTAAAAGCCCGAACGGTCCCGCGGTCTAGTGAGTGAGACAAGGATAGCCGCCCCCGCCCTAACCAGCACGCGACACCCCAGTCTTTCCTGAAATACAATCAAAGAAAAAAGACGCTAAAACTCCTTCTGTGGCGCGTAATAAAATACAATATAAAATATCAAAACGCGTAAAAAAATATCAACGAAACACAAAAGTAGAAAATTAACGGTAAAAAACCAACTGACTGGATCTGGCAACAGCGCAACCACTAGTTGACACCGCTCAAAATTAGTGAGGTTGGATCTGTCAGAAGCAACTTTTTCGAGTTTTTTACCCTTTTGCCACTGTTTCCTCGCAGGAAAACACTCGAAAGTCGTCCAGAGACGCTCAGGGTGGATTTGAGCCCTAACCAGTCTGGCTAGTCGCCCCCAGCAGCCCCCCAAGCCCATCCAGCTGGTCCAACCAGTGGGGCCCACCGAAACTGCTGAAATTT